TATACCATTTCGGACAAATGGCTGTCCAGTCTCTTCTTAAAAACTTCCAGTGTTGGAGCATTCACCGCTTCTGGAGGCAGGTTGTTCCACTGGTTAATTGTTCTCACTGTCAGGAAGTTTCTCCTTAGTTCTAGATTGCTTCTCTCCTTGATTAGTTTCCACCCGTTGCTTCTTGTCCTGCCTTCAGGCGCTTTGGAGAGCACTAGAGTCACTTTTAGCAAATCAGGTCTGTTTCCCCAATTATCATAATCCCTTTCGAAACTGCCTAATTATTTTGAGAGATTGCAGTATTGGGGAAGACAGATTTAGTTTATTTTCTGGGTGAGGCAAAGGTTGGGTATTTTTTCAAGAAAGATTGTTGAGAGGGCAGCAAAACACAACTGGGCTGGGCCAAGTAGTCATAATGTTGCAAAACAATGCAAACATTTTCTTCAGAAAGAGATTTGTCAAAAATTTGCTCAGTAGGTTTCAATATGCCATCTACAATGAAAATGTTGTTTTTGACAGGAAAGTCAAGAGAAGAGATTACTTTCCTGACTTCCATTTAGTTACTGGCAGGGCAAGCTACTGTATATAAACAGGGAGCAAACCCCACACTCACTAGCACTGATGATGTTATGTGGTTGGGTAATGAAACAACTGCAAGCGAACAATCAAGCTCAGACAGCACCAGGCACTCTACACAATATGTATTGACCACAATCTTGCATTAATTCCTTTTCTTCATAGTTAACAGGCGGCTTGAGCCATGGCTACAAGGTGTAATTGCCGTTACAGTCTTTTTGGTTTTGGCAATGATGACCTTTATCATCAACAAATTATGGTGCCAGGATAAAGAGTAAGTGCTGATTTTTCTTTCCCTTATGTCGGATTTCACTTGGTTTTATTCTATATGTCTGTTTGGTCACGAGATCTGTGATTGGACTCCTCATTTTCCTAAAATAAAGTGGCTACAGAGGCCATTAAACTGAAATGAAAGTATTAAGGAAATAAAGTCCCAATGGTGCTTTTTTCCAAAAGGCAATTGGGTTTTCTTGTTTTTTCCCCCCTTTGAAAACGTTTTGCTTCTCATCTAAGAAGCTTCTTCATATCTTCTTAGATGAAAAGCAAAAAAAATTCAAAGGGGAAAAAAACCCAAGAAAGTCCAGTTGTCTTTTGGAAAAACCACCTTTGGGATAACCATAGCCTTGATGATTGAGAATCTCCATAACATGAGGGAATAAGGGTTAATAATCTTTTTTACAGTTTTCTCTAAAAATCTTGTGTTTATATTACTCTGCTGGAAATGAAGGGGGAAAAAAGCAGATTTCTGAATATTTTATCCTGTGTGATTGAAATTAAGAAAACAATTTCCCAATTGTTTAAGAGAAGTAAGAGTAAACTGGTTCCGTGGCCTGGACTGGATTCCTTTCTCCTTTCTCATAGTTTCCTCCTAATAGAAAAGGAACTCTCGCAATGCCACACCTGTTTTAGCTATGGCTACAAGATCTGGATACAAAAAGTCCAGAAGGATTTGTTATTACATTTTAGTAAAGACTTAGATTTTATATATTTGTGATAGTTGTTTGGAATGTTGCAGTCCAAATCTGGTATAGTTAGAATGTACAGTATTGGGTTATGCAACTGAGGCCTTTCTTCTAGAAATCAGATACATACAAATTGCATACCAAATCTTATGGAGACACGATGGGTTCACATATCAAATGTAATACTTCTATATGCAGATTAACAAATTAATTAACAGAGAAGATCTGAAGTGTGCATCAGAAGTCCTCATCAAATTTTTAATCTTACTCAGCTGAGATGCAACTTTGCTATTGATTACACCATTGTGTCATCTATAGAATTATTGTTCTTTTTCATTCCATTAATGTTATTTATGATGTAAGCTTAACACTCTTGGGCTCTGTCTTATAACATTCAGAAATAAAGAAATATGATCTTCAGCTGAAAGAACTATATGTATGGATTGCTCCTCCAATTCATCATTATGCTCCTTCTAATTGCTTCTGCAGTGATTCCAAAGAAGAAGATAAACAAGTGTCCTTCATGAATGGGAATACTAAAGACTCCATCATTTCTAATGGAATGGAAGGAACATATTCACCAACTGCAGCAGACTTCAGGTTAGAGTTGTTTTCTAAACTATTAAAAAGAATAACTAACAACGCCCTTCCAGGAATACCTGCAGAAGTAAATCCTATTGTGTTCAATGGGGCTTATTCTAAAGAAAGTGAACGACAGATGTCAGCCTACTTCTGAAAACAAAGTGCCATTTTGATTTGGTTGTGACAACTTGTCCTTGATTTATCATTGTCTTTCTGTTTTACTGCCGGTTAACTATATAACATAACAGGGTCTGACAATGTGATCAATAATGACTGATCAATGAAAAGTTTCACATGTTTGTGTTTCACTTATTTGTTTCCTTTAGCTGTTAATTTGGCTATGTGTTTAACCAGCAACCCTGAAATGCTTCACTTCTGAAATCTATAGGAAAAAAACAAATTGATTTATGGATATATTAACTAACTGAGACCATTTGGGAATCTGAAATGATGTAGGGGTTTCCGGCTTGAGCAGGGGATTAGACTAGAAGACCTCTAAGGTCCCTTCCAATTCTGTTATTTTGTTATTTAGAACACGGAGTTGGTGTTTTTCCAAGGAAACAATTCTATTAGGTTAACCATGTACAGGTATTAGCCCTGCGAGATTGTCCAGATAAGAAGCATAACCGGGACTACTAGAAAGGGTCCCTTGTGAAACCTTTTCCATGCCCTCCTTCCATCTAAGGGGTGAGTCCAGTCTCCCAAGGTCATCCCCACATATCATTACATCAGAAGCAGCAAGTGGTTGTATCAGGGATCAAAAAAAAAGTATGACTTTCCCAGGATAATGGATTAAGGGCATCTGTCACCTGTACCCAAGACTGCAAATACCAATTATGCCCATATTTTACTTCCACCCAATCACTGCTCTTTCAAAGAAGGGAGGGATCATATGACCAGGACACTACTATGAATATCAGTGGGGCTATCTCTCAAATTAGGAAAAGAAATTGGAGGGAGGCCTATGCATGGTATCCTTGAACATAGGATGAGTGCCAATATAATACATAAATAAATTTTTCTAATATTTCAGGTGTGAAGAAGGCCTGCATGTTTATGAAAACGAAGTTGAGTTTCAGTGTGACACCATGACTGAATGTCATACCGAAAATCATGTAGAAGATCTTACCACAAATATGTAACATCATTTTGTTATTTATTATTATATTTTAAAACCTCCCTATAATATAGATTCCTTACAAGATAAGCCCACATCATTTATTTGGTATGATTTTAATCAAATTAATCAGTTTATTCAAAAGCTAACTAAGTTGGGAAGCATATTAACATTTTTGCATTGGATTTACTTGTCTAAGTTCTGCACATATTTAGGTAGAATTAATTGGCACATAGTATTCCCTCATATGTTTTTTCACCAAAGGGAACTCACTAACCTATTTTTTTCTATTTTAATTTCCTTTTTGTATATCTTTGTACTTTATAATTTTTGCAAGTCTAGTGCCACAGATGGTCCACAAGCTCATTTTCAGGACCTCTGCAAATCAGTGTTATGTTCCTTTTTACCAAGGAATTTCTTGGTTGAAAATTATTTTTCTTCATGGTAAAAGATTTTATTTTTTCAATCACCCTATAGGAGCACATGGATAGTGTTATTAATAAAGGTGAAGGCATGGTGGTAGTCTTCCAATTGCTTTCATTTTATTTTTTTTATTCTTGTTATAGAGTCACCATAAAAACATCTTTTTGGATGAGGCTGGAATGATTTCTGTATACAATTCTCATACATAAATTTTCAGTTATCCTTTTCTTATCTGCATTAAACAAATTGAAAAACTCATTACATATGAGCATATATAATTGGTTGTTACTTTTCTAATAAAATTTGTGAATAAAAAAGGTGCTACCAGACTCCTGATTTTTTCGCTAGCATAGACTAATATAGTTTTTCTCCTACAAAATTAACTGTTCAGAATCCTTTGAGAGTCTCAACAAATTTGTGGGTAAGATTACCCAGTAGACCCAAACTAGACACTCCATGTTTTTGATTACCACTTCCACAGTCCCATGCCACTGGCCATATGGGTTGATATGGTTGGCACAGTGGTAAGAATGCAGTATTACAAGCTAACTCTGCCCACATCCTGGAGTTTGATCCTGATGGGCTCAAGGTGACTCAGCCTTCCATTCTTTTGAGGTCAATAAAATGAGGACCCAGATTGTTTGGGGGCAATGTGCTGACATTGTAAACTGCCCATACAATACTGTAAGGCATTATAGGGCAATATATAAGTCTAAATGCTAGTTTTTAGTGCTAGTGCTATTGATACAATTTGAAGCCCAACCTGCAGGATATCAGGTTACCAATCCCTGACTATGCTATAATTGCATCTTCCAAAGGCCTTTGATAAGAGCGCCCCTGAAGACCTTTGAGTAGATTTAGAATTTATGAGCTAAAAAGAAAATCCCTTTGCAGATCAACAATATTATGCTTTTCTCTAAAGAATGTAAATGGACACTTCCCATAATGATATAAATAGTGTGGTTCCCCAAGAAAGTAGAAATATGTAGCTTATTTCTATATGATTTAGAGTTGGGTGCTCAGTTGTCTTGTCATATCTTATAAATAAGTCTAATATGAAGCCTAATTTGGTTGGATTTAATTTTGCAAGATTAGAGAGTCATTGTGTGTGAGTTGGACGGCTATAAAAATTTGTTTAATAAATTTATTTTTCACATTTTTGTACTACCCATCTCCCCCCCCCTCCCTCCAGAGTGTGATTCTGGGTCGTAAACATGAAAGTATTAAAATATAAAAACAGTATATAAAAGTTAAAAAAATTAGAGAGAGGAGATAAAAACAATGTTAAAATTAATTAAAAGGAGAAGGGAGGGCTCTCAGCGCACTAATCAGCCCCACAGATGTGCATTCCCCATGCAAGACTGCAAAGCCATGTTTTAACTCCTTTTCAGAAGGCCAAGATAGTGGAGGCCTGTTTCACCTCCAAGAGAGGGATAAATATTCTGCAGGATGAGGGAAATGGCGGAGGAAGCTGTCTTCCTGGATCCCGCCAGTTGAAGTTCTTTAGGTGATGGGGTCTGAAACATGCCTTCCTTGCTTGGCCTAGGCCAATATAAAGGCATGCAGATGGTTCCATAGAAATAAATGAATAAAAAATAAATAAAAATAGAGTAAAATATTAAAATGTAAGGACCTCACATGGACAACAATGGCTTGTATTGTCAAAGTCATGGTTTTCCTAGTTATAACATATAGCTATGAAAACCTGGACCACCTGAAAAGCCAAAGAAAGAAAAAAAATATCTTTAAGATGTGATAGTACAAAAACCCCTGAGAATGCCTTGAATTGTAAGAATAAATCAATGTCTAAAATCAGATTGCTCACGGTAGCACTAATAATGGGGCTCAAACTTAAGTACTGGAGACACAAAACAGGGAAGGCAAAAGTCACAGGACAAGAACCATAATGTGATACTTGGAAATATTGAAAGTGATTTTAAAAAGAGAGCTAAAGAAGAGAGGGTGATGGGATACTGGTACTGAAAACAAGTCTGAGCTTACAGGAACTCAAGGAAATGGTTACTGTCAGCCCCCTCCCCCAAATGATTTCTAACAAGTGGGAAAGAATGGGAGATAAGTGAAAATTGAACAACAAATTGGGAAAAGATTTTGACATAATCACAAAGAGTTCCATAAAACCTTGAACAGAATATACAACCATTGCAGAAAAAAAAATAGCTTCCATGATGCAATACATTAAGAAAGGAATGGAAACTAAAACAACCAATAATATAATACTTTTGCATAAATCCATAATGTAGCTTTAATAATGCTACATTATGACCATGCTTCAGGAAAGAACTGCGTATTTCTCCGTCAGTTGTCTTTGGTGCTAATTGTTAGAACTGTTATCCTCTTCCTTTTTCATTTCTTAATTTTGCTTTCTGAAATGTTTTTTGCTTTCTGAAATGAATTTTATTATGGCATTTTTTAAAACCACTTTGATTCAAATCTGGTAAGAAAATCCAGTACCCAGTTTATGAAACTACCTTCTTATAAAATAAAGGTAATACCTCTCTTGAATCAAGATGGACTAAGATTACACAGGTTTTTTTTCTTGGCAACCCTACATACACATACTTCCCAGTGATCTAGAGCCCATCCAAGAGTTCAGATCATAAGAGCATCATGAATTTATACTTGTTGGGTTGATTTGAAAGAAGCATTTAAATGTAACAAAATTCCAATCCTACTGGCTGAAGAAGACATAAGGGCAATCTTTATAATTCTTCTTCCTCACTGCCGTCTCTTTGGAGCTTGAGAATCCCTTTCCTAGAAACCATAAAAAGTAATCTAGGTAGGCTTTAGGAAGGAATAGAAATGTTATCTCCTGTTTTTCAAGTGGGTACCTATCATCAAGCAATTAAAATATATATTTTATTATATTTCTGTGGGCTTTTGGTAACTCAACTGAACAGAACGGAAGGAGGTCCAAATTCCACAAATTACTATACTAGTAGACTTCACTTAGCAACCACAAATGGGACTGGCAATTCTGTTACTAAGTGGAAAATCATGTGCCTACAACACACTCACAACTTCACTTCCCATTCAGTCATTAAACGGAATATCACATAAGCGCAACTTCAGTTTTATTTCCATCTTCTCCGTTAACTCTGCTTGTCACAAGCCAATTGTGAAATGGGGGAATGCCAAACACATGCAGGATGCTGTGATGGTCATAAATATGAGGATTGGCCACAAAGCTTTTTTTTTTTTTACTCTGTTGTAGCTTCAAATGGTCACTAAACAAGGCAGTTAGTAAGCAAGTGCTGTGTAAGGATTGTAATAGTGGCGAATATCTGTAGCTCGGGTGTAGGATGAGGGTGAAGGTTCGTTCTCCGAGCTTGTGGGTTGTTTTCCGAACGTTTTGTTACCAGGCTAGATAAGATGTTACCTAGCCTGATAACAAAACGTTCAGAAACCAACCCACAAGCTTGGAGACCGAACGTTCACCCTCATTGTATAAGGAGCATAAGACTAGACTCACTGCAACCATATAGCATTCAGCATGTTTAAAAGATTGGATGTGCTTCCCTCTAGAGGTCAACAATGAGTGTGAAATCACAAAAGCTTAAAAGAAGAACTAGTTTTTAAGGCATTAGTTTGAAATGCAGACCATGTCATTTACTGATTGTTTGTATGCAGAGAAATCAGTCACAGTATAGATTTTGTTTTCAAATGTGAGGGTTTTTTTAAAAAAAAATCAGATACATATTTCCTCAACTTACTTTGCATCTTCATGTATTTCTGTCAATGAAACCTATGTTGGAAAATAAATTTTAGCTATTATATATGTATAGTGCTAAGAGAAAAATATGAATTTAGGCCCTTAAACTAATTCCACAGGATCAAACAAAATTTGAGTTGGGGTATATCCTCTTTCATTGCAAGAAATGGTGCACTTTGTGTCAGGGTAGTGGTGGTGTGCAGTGGAAATTTTTCTCTTGGAAAAAAAAGTTATTTATCTAGGTAGGCCTATTTGTTACTAACTAGAAGAGAGCCTATCCACCTGTATAATGACTGAAAAAATATGGCTGCCGTGGATTTGATCTATCGCATTCTAAGCACTATTCTCTAGTGCAGAAAGAAAACAGCTCTATAAATCAGTGAGGAGAGTTATGAAAAAAAATCATTTATATTCCTACATTAGAGGAAGTATACATTTTCATGCAGTGGCAAATGTAATAGCTAGAAACAAATGATATCAACCCCAATATTGTTCAAGGAGTATTAGGAATGTGCGCTACCTTGAGTTTCTTATAAAGTAATAAAGTAAGATAAAAATAAAAAGATAGACAGACAGACAGACAGACAGACAGACAGACAGACAGATAGATAGATAGATAGATAGATAGATAGATAGATAGATAGATAGATAGATAGATAGATAGATAGATAGATAGATAGATAGATAGATAGATTAGGCAAGACCTGGCTCAAAAACAGCAACTGTGAGAGGGACCTTGGAGTCCTAGTGGATGATCACTTGACTATGAGCCAGCAGTGTGAAGCAGCCGCCAAAAAGGCTAATATAATCCTGGATTGTATAAACAGAGGCATAGAATCAAGATCACACAAAGTATGAGTACCGCTTTATAAAACCCTAGTAAGACCACACCTGGAATATTGCAACCAATTTTGGTCATCATACTACTAAAAAGATGTTGAGACCTTGGAAAAAGTTCAGAGAAGAGCAACTAAAATGATCAAAGGCCTGGAGACTAAAACATATGAAGAACAGCTGCAGGACTTGGGTTTGGCTAGTGTAAAGAAAAGAAGAAATAGGATGATATGAGAGCAGTATTCCAGTATTTCAGGGACTGCCACAGAGAAGAGGGGGTCAAACTATTCTCCAAAGCACCAGAGGGCAAGACAAGAAACAATGGTTGGAAACTGATCAAAGAGAGAAGCAACTTGGAATTAAGGAGAAACTTTCTGACAGTGAGGATAATTAACCAGTGGAACAGCTTGCCTTCAGAAATTGTGGGCATTCCATCACTTGAGATTTTTAAGAAGAGACTGGACAGTCACTTGTCTGAGATGGTATAGGTTCTCCTGCTTGAGCAGGGGGCTGGACTAGAAGACCTCCAAGGTCCTTTCGGGCTCTATTCTATTCTATTCTATTCTATTCTATTCTATTCTATTCTATTCTATTCTATTCTATTCTATTCTATTCTATTCAGATGATAGATAGATAGATAGATAGATAGATAGATAGATAGATAGATAGATAGACAGACAGACAGACAGACAGACAGACAGACAGACAGACAGACAGACAGGCAGGCAGGCAGGCAGGCAGGCAGGCAGGCAGGCAG